CGCGGCCAGCCTGCCCTCCTCCCTGGCCAAGTCCTCTGGGGGCGGGGCGAGGCACTTAACCTGTCTGGGCCCTTGGTTTTCGCACCTGTAAAATGGGTGATATGGACCTTTTGTGAAATGGTGCCCACGAAGGCAGTCTGTGAGTCGGAGAGCCCTGCTCGGAGGGTTATGGGGGGAAGGGGCAGACTTTCCTACCTGCCTCCACCCTTCCCTGAGCTGTGGGTGGCAGACACCAAGTTCTGGGGTCTCCAGCTGCATTGGGTGGCCGCTGATTGCTTCTCTCTGTGCAGTCCAACGAGAACATGGAGATAACCAGCGCGCTGCATTCGGAGCAGCACATCAAGAAGGAGCTGGCCAAGGAGCTGGAGCAGCTGCAGGGGAGGCTAGGAGAGCTGAAGGAGACGGTAAGCCCTGCCCCAGCGGGAGGGCCAGGAGATAGGCACCAGCCTCTGGGGAGCCAGGGACCTGGGGCCAGGACAGGTGACCCCAGAGTCCTTCAGAGCCTGTGACTGCTTGTTGCCCCCGGCCTCTGATTTTCAGAGTTGAGTAGCCCTGGGCCATAGGTCATTGTCCCCGCTAGAGGCATCGAGCCCCTAATTAGAGGGGAAGAGAGTGTGTACGGTGGCCAGCTCCTTGGGTTCAGCCCTCGCATCTCTAAGCCTCAGTTTCCTTATCTTAAAAGGTTAGCGGGACTTCCCTGGCGGTCCAGTGGTTGAGACTCCACGGCAGGTGGTGCGGGTTTGATCCCTGGTTGGGGAACTAAGATCCTGCGTGGTGGTGTGGAGCTACCAAAAAAATAGAAAAGAAAAAAAAAAGGAGGTTATCATTTTCCTCCTAGAGGTGTTGGAGATTAGAGAATCATGCATGTAAAGCCTTAGGCGTTCAGTGTGCACCTCACAGATGTTGGCTGGAGCTCTACTTTTCCACCTGTCTGCGGCCTCAAGTTAAGATAGAAAGAAGCTTGCTATGAGGGCTGGGTGAAGGCGGCATGGGGCTCTGGGCAGCCAGCAGAGCCTCGCGGTGCCTGCCTCAGACAGAGGGGTCTGTGCCCAACCTCCCCAGTCTATGGGCTCCAACTGCGGAAGCGAGCCACAGCCTGTCCTCACCCCCAGCGTCTTCCCGCAGGTGGAGGTGAAGAGCCAGGAGGCTCAGGATCTGCAGCAGCAGCGGGACCAGTACCTGAGCCACCTGCAGCAGTACGTGGCTGCCTATCAGCAGCTGGCCTCTGAGAAGGCGGGGCTGCAAAAGCAGGCGCTGCTGCAAACGCAGCTCATGGACCAGCTGCAGCACGAGGAAGTCCAGGGCAAGGTGGCGGTCCAGATGGCCCACCAGGAGTTACAGGAGACCCAGGTGAGGGCGTCGGAGTGCTGGGCCCCTGACGGGAAAGCCTGCAACCTGTGTCCCTCCTCACTTTCTTTCCTGGCCTCTTAGGAGCGCCTGGAAACAGCCAACCAGCAGAACCGGCAGCTACAAGCCCAGCTGAACCTCATGGCTATGCCTGGGGAAGGTAAGTAGGACGGCCCGCAGGGAGAACACCCAGCCTGAGGAGCAGGGGGACTTTTAGCAGCGTGGAATTGAGTTAGAAGAGACCTTTAGGACAGCGAATCCTCTTCCTGCAGCGAGTGAGGTGAGGGGCAGAGCTGGGCGGCACGCTCTCTTCCCGGCCTGCTCGCCCTGCCTTGTTGGGTTGTCTGAGGCCCCTCCATGTGTCCCCAGCAGGAGGTGGACCAGACGGTGAGGAGAAGGATGAGGAGGCCCCCCGGCCGAAGCTGAGCGTGCCGGAGGAGCTCGACAGCCGAGAGCTGCTGGTGAGCTGACCTCCTACTCCTTGCCTGTCTTACTTCCTACCTCCTCCTGTGCTTCCTCTCAGACACTCTTTGTGGTTTCCCTCCCTCTGACTTCTCTGGACCCCCAAGCTCCCCTGGGAGCCATAGTCAGATGCCATGTCATCCTTGAACCACAGGCATGCCCACAAAGACCCCGAGAGGAGGAGCATCCCTCCGCCCGCCGCCCCTCGCTGGTCCTCAGTATCCCCCACAAAAGCATGCGCACACCTCTTGCCCGCAGGTGGCATTTTTTAACTCGGCCTTAGCCAGTGCTGAGGAAGAGCAGGCCCGGCTGCGCGGGCAGCTGAAGGAGGAAAAGCTGCGCTGCCAGCGCCTGGCTCACCTGGCAGCCGCGACCCAGGACGGGGCGGAGAAGGAGGCCCCAGCCTCCGGGATCGGGGGGGACAGTGTGCCTGCGGAGACCCACCAGGCCCTCCAGGTGGCCATGGACAAGCTGCAGGTGAGTGGGTCGCCCCCAGTGGGGTCCAGGAAGGGTGGGGGCCTGCGGTCAGATCGCTGCCGAGCCCTGACCTGCTGTTGTGGCTTCAGGGCCGTTTCACAGCGCTCATGCAGGAGAAAGTAGATCTGAAGGAGCGGGTAGAGGAGCTGGAGCATCGCTGTATCCAGCTGTCCGGAGAAACAGACACTATTGGTGAGTGGAGAGGCGGGGGCCCGGGGCGGGGGGCCGAGGGCTGGATCGCAGCAGCCCCGCACCTGAGCCCTGTTCGCCCTCCCCGCTCCCCGCAGGAGAGTACATCGCCCTTTATCAGAGTCAGAGGGCGGTGCTGAAGGCGCGGCACCAGGAGAAGGAGGAGTACATCAGCCGCCTGGCTCAGGACAAGGAGGAAATGAAGGTAGGGGTCCTTGTGACCGTCTCTGTGGGCGGGGGTGGGGTGGGGTGCGTGTGCTGAGCGCCTGTCCCTCCAGGTGAAGCTGCTGGAGCTCCGGGAACTGGTATTACGCCTGGTGGGCGAGCGAAATGAATGGTATGGCAAGTTCCTGGCTGCCCAGAACCCTGCTGGTGAGCCCACTACAGCTCCCCCAGCCCCGCAGGAGCCTGGTGGTGCCGAGCACGGTGGTGAGTAGCGCCCTCGGGGAGGACCGGCGGGCGGGCAGGGGAGAGCTGGCACACCACTCCGAGCCCTGCCTCTCTCTTTCTCTACAAAGGTCTCCGCGAGGTGAGCCTCAAGGACAACGTGGACCCCACCCAGGGGGAAGCCCTGCGGGGCCAGACGACCCCTGAGAACCCCACTGCGCAGCAGATCATGCAACTGCTGCGCGAGATCCAGAACCCCCAGGAGTGCCCAGTCTTGGGTAGCAGCACCTGCGTCCCCTTCTTCTACGAGACTGACGACAACGATGAAGTGAAGATCTTGGTGGTCTAACTGCCTGACACTAGCGGGCAAAGACCGGAGACCTGGGGCTGGGGCGCTCTGCCCCTGTCCGTACCTGCTGCCCCGTCCCTCCTTCCTGGCACCCCTTCATCCCTAAAAAAACCCCTGAAAAGGGGTATAGCCCCCTGTCTAATGGGGGGAGACAAATAGGTGCAGACCCCTTGCCATCTTGGCCAGGGCTGTGTCTTGATCTCTGGGCTATTAATAGTTCCAGAAAAACAAAGAGCCGGAGGCTCAGTAAAGGTAGTTTATTTATGAGGCTGCCGTTCTTGGGGAGCAGGGGCTCCCTGCTGGTCTCCTCACCCCCACCAAGCAGTCCTCCATTCAGAGGCACTTTGGGGCACAAGTGCCCCCCCTCCCCCTTGCCCAGCCAGACAACTGGGCAGCACTCTCACAGGCCTTGGGCAGGTTGGGCAAACCGAGGCCAGGCAAGGACATAAGCTGGTGGCGGGGTGGGCTCCCTCCCCAGTGTTTATACTGTAACTGTGTAACATTTTGTATATTCTGGAGGTAGGGAAGCCCCCTGTATCACATTGGAGGTTGGCGCTGGTAAATGGGGAGGACCTTCTATTAAATATTTGGGGCTGGGGAAAATTATTTATTGATAGCGTAGGTCGGAGAGAGAAGGTGGAGGCGGGGACGGGTTTGTGCCCGGGTGATTCGACTCCTGTTTCACTTTTTATTTCAGAATAAATGAATTTAGCCATACTGCTTGTTCTTGCGTGTTCCTTTTTCTTCTGTCGCTGGGTCCTGTGCCGTGAGCACTGAACAGGGAGTGGGTCCTGCCAGCAGAGGGCAAGCTTCTGGTTGTGCTGGTCCCCAGTGTGTCTGAGCACATCCAACCGGGCTGTTAAGAGATCTTCCAAGGCCTGTCACCTGCATGCTGCCTGGTGAAGACTGGGGGTTCCCGGGGGACCGCCGTGGGGCTCTCGGGGCAGTCCTGCCTTAATGACGGAGAGACTCAGAAGTCAGATCTAATCCCAGGGAGGGAAAGCAGGGTGCCACAGCACCCTGAGTGCTGACTTGTGGTCCAGGTGTTTTCCATTCCATCGCCCTGCCCCTCTGGTGGCCTGTTCTGCCTGTCCTTCCACAGTGCCTGCCTGGCCAGCACCTCACGGTCCTCCCTCCGCGCCCCCTAGTGGCCAGAGCAGGTTTCACAGGACGAGGATCAGCTGACTCCAGGTGCTTTCCCAGTAGGCCTCGGAGAGGATGCGGCTTTTTTCTCCACATCTTACAGCCCCCTAGCAATAGCTGGGTCCTTCCCCATCCCTCACCCCAATGTTTAAACCTTTACCTCTCCCTGAGCGCCACAGAGAACACAGGCCACAGAGGACACGCTGTTCCCCATCATCCAGAAATGGGTTTTATTCTCAGCCAAGAGACAGCAAGACCGGTAGTGGTCAGAGAACCACACAGCTGCCAGTACGGCACCCCCGTGTTCGAGGGGGGGTAGGGACGGGAGGGCGGCAGAGGGGGGCTGGCTGTCCACAGGCTGCGTACGACGGGGGCTCATCGGAGGTGGCACGCTTTGGAGGGGGATGTCAGGGTGACAGCGTTCCCTTGTAGTTGGGCCACAAGACTCCTCAAGGACAGCATGGTGATTGATTCCCGACACTAGAGGTGAGGCTTGGCCATATATGTGTGTGTGTGTGTGTGTATATATATATATATATATGTATATATATATATATATATATATATGAGTATTTATAGATATTTATAGAACTGGGCAGGAGCAAGACCACAGAGGGGCACAAGTTTCACCAACGTCACGCCTGGATGTGTCAGCTCACCACTACAACAGACTAAGTCACAGATGAAGGGGAAGCTCTGGGGCCGGGTAGCCACTGTCAAGTCACAGAACAGCCGTCCAGGCAGGCTTGGAAAGGGAGGTCTCCGAGGAATAGGAGGGATCTGGTTAGAGGTCGAAGGGGGGCCTGGGGCTCTCAGGTCGGGATGGACTTGCCTGACCCGATCGGCTGGCAGTTGGAGAGAAAGCAAAGAGAGAACGGGAGAGAGAAAAGGGGGAGAGAGCTGGTAAGGCAAGGGCAGCCTAGCCCGGCAGTCAGGGGAGAGGAGGGGAGGGGCAGAAGACCCAGGTGTGGGCAAGGATTCTGGAATAGAGAAGAGAGACGAGAAAGGGAAGGTAGAAGGGCAGGAGATGGGCAGGGGCCAGAGCCTCACGGGGGTCTGGGGTAAAGGCTGGGGCAGCGCCCACCCCTCCACACACGCTAGACTCTCACACACCACCAGGCAGTGCACCCACAGCTCCAGACACGTGCTCGGCCCCCTCTGGCTTCCCTCTTCTCTGGCCCCCTGTCTTTCAACCCACTGGCGCAGGGCCATCCCTAGCCTCAGGGAGTATGGGGCCGTGAGCCCCACGCGACAGCCACCAGGCCTGATGGAGGAACACACGAGAAAGAACACTGTTTGAACCAGGAGGGCAAAGCTAACAGAATGGCTGGAGGGAGCGCTAGAGGCCCCTCTGGGTGGGCAGAAAGCCCACGAGTCCTCTATAGGGACCCTGGGGAGGCAGGGAGGGCAGGCGGCCGGATGCCAGTGGCCACAGGCTTATAAGTCTAAGAGGGGAGCCTCAGCTGGTCGGGGGGCCGCAGGTCGCGTAGGTGAGGCTGGGCCCTTCCTGCTGGGGAAAAGCAGAAGAGCAAGAGTCAGCGCAGGTGCGGAGTGGCAGGCAGGCTCGCTGGGTGAGTTTGGGGCCCAGCTGGGGCGGAACTCAGAGAAGCTGGCTTGCCCAGGTCCGCAGACACCGTCATCCCCTTAGCGGAAAAGTGGAGGTCACCCCTAGGAGCAACAGGCCCAGGTGGATGAGCCTGCGGGCCGGCTACGGTGCTCCACCTGGGGCTGAGGACGCTGCCTTCAGTCCTGCACCAGCAGGAGTGACAGTACCGCGGAGGCAGGGGAAGGGGCGGTGTGACCTGCCTGGCCTGTGAGCTGTGCTCTGGGCTGATGGTGGGGGGGACACTCAGGCTTTCCCAAATCATCAAATAACCAGAGCCTTCACCCCCAGCTGCTGCTCGCTTGCTGGCTCGATAAAGGAGGTGGGACTTTGACTTCCTCTGCCCTATCGTGGATTCGGTTTCCAGAGCTCCCAGGCTGGGAGCTGGCTGCCCTGCCCCCGCGGCAGGGCTCAGATCGGGGAGTGAGTGTGGCACCCCAGGGTGAGACGCCAAGGCCTCTGGGTGCCTGAGTCCAGCCAAGCTCCCTGCCCCTAACACCACGAACCATGAGCTCTGCGCTCTTTCTGACGCCTCCAGAGAGCACCCAGCTTTGCCTGCTTGGGTGCGGAGCCTGTCCCAAGACCTCCCCAGGCTCAGCCATGGAGGTCTTGGGCAGTGGCACTGAGTCCCGAGGCTCGCTGAGAAGGGAGGTGAGAGAGCCAGCTGGCAGCGAGGACAGAAAGAGGAAAGAATAAGTCTGGAGCTACAGAAGGGAGAGGGAGGGGGCCTGCCTCTGAGGTCCCAGGTTCGCCCTGCAGTGTGGAGCTGGTGCGGCAGGGGGCAGACACACCGGTTCATGCAGCAGGTGGAGAGGCCTGTACCTACCGTGGCTGACGCTCCTCAGGGGTCACTGATAGTGATTCTGAAAGACAGCACGAAATCAACGTGGCAGTTCACGCTCACAGACGGGTCAGGCCTGGGGGTGGGGGGACACGCACACGCACACGCCCGGGCGTGCACACACATGCGGTGAGGCCCCACGGCCCCGCATGCACACGCTGACACACATGCCCACAAACAACACGCATACACCCCACCCCCCAACGCCCAGCAACCTCGCTGGCCGGCACGTGCAGCATGGATCTGGGGCATGCAGCCACTTGGCACACTGAAGCACACGCGGGGGCGGAGTCACAACACAGAAGCTCGCCCCCACACAGGAGGCATCTGCACCAGCTCCCTGCACACTCGTGCCTGGCGTGCTCAGAGGGCCACCTGCATTGCTCCAGAAGGGACAGGTCTTGCTTTCTTAGGGTCCAGCTGTCATGTCTCCACCCAAGAGCCTTCCATGGCTCCCTGCTGCTCACAGCACTGAGTCCCAAGTCAACCTCTTCTGTGGACTTTGAAGGTTCTCCTACCTGCCCCACCTTACCCAGGGCAAATTTGTTTTTCTTTTTTTTGGCCGTGCTGCGTGCCATGCAGGATCTTAGCTCCCTGACTAGGGATCGAACCCGTGCCCCCGGCAGTGGAAGTGCAGAATCTTAACCACTGGAACCTCCAGGGAAGTCCCCAGGGCAACCTCTTCTTATTCTTCCTCATTCTACCTGCACTCTGCTCTGGCCAGCAGCTCTCAACGCGTTCCACACTCAACTTTTGCCCACCTGCTGCTCCTTACCCAAACGCCCTCCTGACTCCTCACCACCTGAGCCTTATCTCCATCAGCCCTGGGATCTCACCGAAGTCAAGCTGCCTTGAAGCTCCCCAGACTGCTCTCTCCTCTGAGGCTGTGACTTCCCATGTGTCAGCCAGACTAGAGCGGAGCAGGTACCAGACCTTACAGTTCTCATGTCACACCTCAGCACAGGCCTGGGCACGTCAAATACCCTTAAGAATCTGAACTCACATTGGAAGTTAGCAAATAGTTCCTATAGCCACTTTTGCAGTTAATGTGGCATCCCTATAGCCACTGCCTCCCCTGATCCCCACACCAACCCTGGGAGAAAGGCAGAATGTTAAATATCATTTGGTGGAAGGGAAACTGAGGCCCTGGAAGGGAAAGTGACTCGCCTAAAGGCCCACTCCAGTCCAGTGCCCCTGACCGACACCACGCTGCCTGCGTTACCCCATCTGCCTTGGCCGTCAGGTCACCATAGAGCAAGCCCCATCTCTGCTTCACTGTAGGTTCATGGAGGTTAGACCCATGGCCCTACCCTCCAGCCATCTGGAAACAAATGGATATTATTGGTCTGATGTGTTCTTCCTCAGAGAACATGGCCAGTGGAAACAGGGCAGACTGAGTTAAATATCAGAGTGAGCTTCCTTGAAAGAGGGTCATGGATCAAGAAGGCAAAGGCAAGGGATGAAGTAGAACCCTTTTCCCTGGAGATTTCTGGGAATGGGGCAGCCTCCACTCCTGCCCGCACACCCACCACGTTGGTCCAGGCCAGCTAGGGCCAGAGGCAAGGGGAAGGAAGGAAGCCATCAGGCTGTCCCATGGCTCCCAGGCCCCTTTCCCAGCTGCTCCACGTCCTACTGCATGCCTGGGTGCCATTCTTACACTCTCACATCCGTGTGCACGCCCACACACACATCACACACCTTGCTGGTCACACAGTCACAACCCTCAGGGACAGGTCCAAAGAGTCAGGACTGGGAAGTGCGGGCACCAGGGTAGCCCTGAGTGTAAGTGAATAAAATCTACCCATCCAGAGAGGATTTGGGTTCAGATCCTCAGACCTGAGGTAGGCTCACTAGGAGCTAGGAGACAGAAGTAGAGGACGGAATGGAGAACGGAGGAGAGCGGCTAGAAGGGGAAAGGAGAAGGGAGGCAACGCGTGGGAGAGAGAGAGTGAAAAAGGAGGGAAGCGCCATGCAAGTGCTGGAAAGAAGAGGGCAGGTGGGATGAGCCCCACGGCCCCCTCCCCAGAAACGACCACCTGCGGAACTCAGCGCTCCCTGGGGGCAGGCTCCGCCAGCCCTCGGCCACACCCCCGGTGGCTCTGGCACCCACGGTCCGAGTGACCCGGACAGAGAGGGCCGGCTCTGGCGACCTGGGCCGATTCTCCGGAATCCGGCCCCACCTCCCTCCCGGCCACGCCCGCCCGGCGGTCTCTGCCGCCGCTTTCAGCCCCTACTCACCTGGGGACCCCGGGCGGGGCGCGGTTGGGGCGCGAGGGCACCTGGGGGGGAGGACCGAAGGGGTCAGGGGAAGCCCCCGGCCTGGAGGGCACGGGGGGCGCCCCCCCTAGGGCGGACCCAGCAGGCGGAGGCCCAGGAGCAGGGCCCCGCGACCCGGGCCGGGCTGGGGGCACCGCGGGGGCTCGGCGCTGCGGTGTGGGGCTGGACGTGGGTGACCTGCGGGCGACAGGGAGCGAAGGACAAGGAGGGGAGATGAGCGGCTCCGCCCCACCGTGAGGCCCCGCCCCCAGCTGTGTGCCGGTCACGCCCATGCGCGCAAGCTCCGCCCCTCCGCGCCTTAGGTTTTCGCCGGAGTTTAAGCCCGCCCCCAGAGGCTCCAATGTTCCAGCTCCACCCCTCCCGGCAGCCAGCTCTCCACGGCAAGCCCCGCCCCGCGATAAGCCCCGCCCCGCGATAAGCCCCGCCCCTCGCTCCAGGTGGGAGCTATCCCGGTGACGCCGTCGCGTCACTGCCCGGTCTCGGCCCTCCTCCAGCGGGCCCCGGGCTGGGGGGCTTTGGGGCCGTGGGAGCCGGCCCTGGTACCTGCGTCCAGCCGGTACGCTCTGCACCTGCAGCCAGGAGTCGTCCACGGGCGGGGGCATGGGCGTGCTGACAGTGGTCGTGTTGATGTCGCCGATGATGCTGAGCGCCTCTTTCAGTGCGTGGTACATGCGCAGCATCTCGTCGCGCCGCTGCGCCTGCTCGGCCGACTCCTCCATCAGTGTGTTCTGGTCCCCGCACGAGTACAGGTTGGCCAGCAGCTCCGAGAAGATGAATTCCTTGGTCTGCGGGCGGGCAAAGAGAGGAGAGGGCTGGGACCTGACGCCTGTACCAATTTGCCCTCCCCGCCGGGCCTTACTAGCTCGGGGATGGGGCTCCGCCACTGCCTAAACTCAGAGATCTCCCTTGCTTCCCCGCCTCCCCGCTTGCCCTTTTTCTCAGATGGTCCAGAGAAGAAAAGTGAACTGTTCAAGGTCATAGATCTAGAACACTCAGGGCCTATTATGCACCAGGACACCTGGTTACTCAGCTTATTTCAGCCTCAGTTTCCTCATCTGTAAAATGGGGTAGTTACACCCTTTCCAAAGACTTGTATGCTCCACTGGACCAAAATAAGGAAGATGACAGTTTAAAATTTTCTGAATCCTTGAGTAGCAGGTGTGAATGTGTGCCTGGATCGGGTGAAATGTGAGTGTCTGTGTGTAGGGCATGGGTTAATGTTCTCCTTAAAAATTCCCAGATGTTACCTGGGCCAGGCTCTGGAACATTTGTGGAGAGATGCTGAGGTTTTTTATGCCGTAGGCCTGTGTCTCATTTATTCATTATCTAAATTTATGTTGAGCACCTACTACATGCCAGGCACTGTGTTGTTATGCACTTTATATTCATTTAATCCTCAACTCTATCATTATCCATATTTTACATATAAGAAAACAGAGGCTCAGAGAGGGTAGTTCGTTTGCTCAAAATCACACAGGGTTGAGGCAAAGCCAGGATTCCAACACAGTTCTAATTCCCTTCAGGCCATGCTTTTTCACTAAGCCATGGGTGGAAGTGGTTCCGTGGGGTGTGTATCTCAAAACATGGTGTGGGAGATCTCAAAACATGGTCTGGGAGTTCTCAAAAGATGCATATTCCTAGCCCCTCCTGGAAAGCATTTAAGCATGCTTGGAACAACTTGGTTATGTGAATCTACAAAATAATATATGAAGCTCACATTACATTTCTATTGGATACCTCTGGCGTGGACCCATGCCTCCCTCCCCAGACTTGGTCCCACATGACTAGCCCGTGCCTACTCCAGGCCAACCTGGCCACCTGCCTCCCTGGTCGCACGAGAGCACCCGCCCCCCACGCGGTGGTGCACCCACATTGTTGATCATGAGGTGCATGATGGTCTTAGGCATGAGGTCCCGGACAGTCTTGTTGACGATGGCCATGTATGAGTCCACCAAGTTCCGGATGGTCTCCACCTGCCGCTCCAGCTGTGGGTCCATGGAGTGCATGAAGCTGTCTGAGCCATTCTCCTCTGTCTCACTGGCCTGCCATTGAGGACAGGGCATCAGGATGGCTAGGACCTCAAAGCCAGGTTCCAGGCATCCCCCGGGTCCCAGCCCCTTCAAGGATGCCTGGAACGCTAAGATACAGAGAGAAGCAACTGGCCTGTACACAAAGACACCAGCTCCCCCATAGCTCTGGGTCTCTGGGCTCTGTCCACCCCAGTGCCTCTCAGGACCCCAAACCCTCATTCAGCCTTATCTTGGCTCTGACTCTAGTACCTAGAATTTGCCTTACTTTCCCAGTCCATAAATTAGGACAGGACATCTCCAAGGACCCTTCATGATTCTAAAGGCCTGGCCAGATCTGTCGCCAGGCTAGAGATGCCTGGCAGAAGATGAGAGAGGGACACACTCACTTTCTCTTTGTCCTGGGAGGCCCACACCAAAGCCATAGAGGTCACCACACCAGCATTGCCATCATCGCCGCCGCCACCAGCGAGCACAGCCGTAGCAGACACACACAGGAAAAGAGGAGGGACTGAGTAAACCCAGGGCACTGCACCCCAACTGTAAGGCAACTCTAGACATTGTCACAGTGAAAGAGGGTAGAAAAGTGAAGGCAGTCAGAAGAAAGCATGATCATATGAAAGGGATGTCGGAAATGCCATCTGTGTCAGACAAAGAGTCATGTAAAACTGCACTGGAGAAGGATGGGAGGAAGGGTTAACTCTGATCCCACCCCAGAGCAGGTAGGGGGAGGATCCCTGCTATTTCTGAGCCCAATAAGAGCCGGAAAATATGGAATGGCTTGGCATCACTGTAGATGGCTTCCCCCGGAGCCCCTTATTTTAAGCAGCTTGCCCCTCCCCTACCTCCCCTGCCACTCACCCCAACACGCTCGGGGTACACGCCAGCTCTCAGGAAGGAGGCCTTCCAGCTATCCACCTCCTCCTGTGTCTCGCAGGCCAGTTCCAGCTGCCGATAATCCTTGTAGACGTTCCTGCAAGATGGGGCAGGTGGTGAGGGGAGATGGGGGACAAAGCCCATTCACCTTGGTGGTTAAGGGCGTGCGTGGACTGGGGTCATCGTGCCTCTGGGCCAATCCTGGCTTTCTTACTTGCCAGCTGTGGCAAGTCCCTTCTTCTCTCCCAGCCTTAGTTTTCTCATCCGGAACATGGGTTAATAATAACAATTCCTGCCTTTTAGGGTCATTGAGAGGATTTAGTGAAATGAGCAGTAAAATACTCTATTAGAAAGGGACTGAGCTCTCATGAAAGGGGGACCCATGACAGTGCAGCCCCTGGCTTAGATCTCAACCCCCATTGGCCCCCTCCCAGGCTTTCCCCTCTTGGCAGCTGTATTGAACCCTCATCTCTGAGTAGGAGAAAGTCCACTAGAGTCAGCCCTGGGTTGGGAGGGGAGAGGCCTGGTACTGCCAGTATCTCATGCAGGGCAGGTACTAACCGAGTGATTGCAGAAGGACAGGAGGGGAGGAAGGAGGGAGGGAGGGAGAGAGAGAGACGGAGAGGGAGGGAGGAAAGGCAGGAAGGAGAAAGGAAGGGGTGGCGGGAGGGAGGCCAGGAATGAGATCTGGACATGAGTGTAGCACAGATTAGAAACTCAACAAATATTTGTCAAGTGAATGACTTGCTGGGGAGCCCGGGCAGATCTCTCTGTCTTCTGGATCCGTGGGCCCGTCTTTACTCCCCAGGGCCCCGTGGGAGCAGGCAGGCGCACCTCTGCTCCGTGTTGAAGAGGGCAAAGATGTGCTTGCTGGACATGAAGCCCTTCTCCACGTCCCGCAGCTTCAGGTTGTCCACGGACAGCATGTATTTCTTCTCTTTCTCCTGGGGGAGAGGGAGGAGCGATGGGTGAGGTTGGTGCTGTCTGTGCTACGCCTCACTCCCTAAGGATGCTCCATGTTGCGGCGCGGGGGGACCTGGGGCTGTAGACCACCAGCCCCCTTGCACTGCGTGGGCGCTGTCTGATGAAAGCCTGGCCACGGGGCCCCGGGTCTGCTGGGCACCTCGGCTCCCCACGGCGTTCAAGCCCTTCCCACCGCCTCCGCATCCATGCCAGAGCTCAAGAGCCTGGGGTGGCGAGGCTGAGCTTGGCTCCCACATCCCGCCCCAAGCCAGCCCTGGACGCAAGCCAGGCCAGCCCCAGCCAGGGACCCCGCACTCGGCCTCTCTTGCCGCCAGCCTGGCCGATGGGGCCTGCTCTGGATAAGCCTCTGACTTCATTTCCTGACTGGAGAGACGGGGAAGGGGGGCGGCCACCAGGCCTGGCAGCTTCAAAGGGCTGGCTCAGCCCACTCCCCACAGCTGCCCATGTGTTAGCGATCAGGCACACAGCACAAGCCTGGAGATGGTGAGTGTGTGTGTGCAACGTGTGTGGTTGTATGTCTGTGCAAACATGTGCATGTCTGAGCACGTGTCCTCTCACCACTGTGCGTGTGCCCATGTGTCCCTGTGTGTGCACGAGGGTGCCTGAGGAGGTGCCAGCCCGGCTGTGTGTGCGTGTGAGCATGTGTGTATGTGTGGCAACTGTAAATGTCCATATGTCTGCATGAATGTACCTGCGGGACCTGCGCTGTGGGTGCACGTACTTACGTGCATAGAGTTTTCGTAATGGGCTGAGTCTGTGTGGTTTATCTGTATCGTCTGGGAGGAGTTACGCTTATCTGTGGATGGCATGTGGGTGCCAGGCCTGTGTGCACATGTGTGTACGTCTGGTGGGGGCTGACACGTGACTGTAGGCTCCTCTGTCCTACAGACAGAGGGGAGGAGCTCAGGGATCTTCGGAGGAGGTACCCCAGGATGGGGCTCTGGGAGGAGGGGAGGGGTTTCTGCTGCCTGTACCCCACTAGTCAACCCAACACCACAGGGCCCACACCCGGGGGCCCGGGCTGGGGTGACTGTGTGGGTTTGGAGGACTCGGGGCTTGGGCATGAGCCTCGCCACGGATCTCGGGTCGGGGGCTGGGTTTCGGAGGACCCTGCTCCACGTCCTGGCGTCATCCTGCCCACCTCTCTCTGCCCCCCGCACCCCCCTGGCCCGTCCAGCCACATAAAGCCCTCTTTATGCCAGGCGGGTGGCCGGGAGCCCCAGAGGGTGGCTGGGGGAGGAGAGGAGGAAGTTGCACACGCGGCCAGGGAACATCTGGAAGCATTCGAGGGAGGCCCCGCCGCCACCCGCCCTGCGCTCTGCTCTGGGGTTGGACACTAGGTAGGAGCAGCCCCCTCCTTCCCACAGGCCGGCCCGTCCCCAGGCCCCTCCTCCCCAGCCAGAGCTCCCGCTCACCCCTGCCACGTCAAAGGAGGCAGAAGGGGAGTCAGAGCAGAGAGGGGACCCCGGGCTGGCTGGGCTGGGCTGGGGACCTTGCATCTCCAGGACATGGGGCTGAAGCTCTCACCCGACGGACAGACACTGCAGCCTGGATGGATCAGAGGACACCTCCACTCCGTCTACCCAGTGTTTAGACTATCTGTTCAGGACTTCCAAATTGTACAGTAGTCTGCACATTGGTTAGGCTGGGCTGGGTTAGACCCTCGGCACCGCCGCTGGAGAGCTGGAGCGGCCCCCGCACGCCATCCCAGAACCGGAGCCTGGAGCCGGGGCAGGGGGCTTGGGGGGCACAGGGTGGGCTGGGAGGAGGCAACAGGGATGGGGGCACCACCATGCTGTGGGACGGGGTGGGGTTGCTGATGGGTGGCGGAGGAAGAGTGAGAAGATGGGGGGTCAGTGAGGGCTGGGGATGTGGGCGGCTGCCTGTCTGCCCAGAGGATCACCCAAGTCCCAAAGACCAGACGGTTGGTGGCTGGGTGGAGAAGGGGGACAGATCACCCTCCGCCCAGCCCGGACCACCTCCCTGTCCCCAGCTGTTTTAGGGCAGAAAGATCCACTCACAACCCCACACACACACGCAACTTTACCTCGGCACGAACACACCTACAACTCGGAGACATACATCCCCACACTCGAATTTTAAACCACACATCCGTGTCCCAAGCACACACAAGTGCATGCACACACATGCGCACACAGATGCACACACCCGCTCACAATGGAACACCAGCCCTCTCCCATCCTTACATCCCCAACACGTACAATACATATCCTCAAACGTGCCACACGCACGCCCTCCCTCCTCAAGTCCACTCGCCACACGTACACACAGATGCTTACACACCGGGCACGGGCACACACGCCTCAGGCACACATGGTCTGCCCCCAAACACACATGCAAACCCTCAAACACCGAACACGCCCCGAAGCTTATACCCCAGACACTCTCCTGTCAAACACCCACACCCCACGTCCACAAGCCTCACACACACCCTCACCTCCCAGCACTCACTGCCCAGCCCTCCCCCACCCACACGTACACTCAACGCCGGGGTCACACTCGACTCAACTCAAATGTACACACGAAGTTCCACAGAGACCAGCCCCCCGATACACACACACACACACACACACACACACACACATACAAGGACGGGGGCCCTGCTCAGATATACTCCCTCCTCCCCCCAGTGTAGCCCATCTCTAGCCCCCAGCCCCAGTCACACTGTCCCCTGGCCCTGTGCAAGGAACCTCAACACAGGAGCCCAAGGAATGGTGGGGCACGGGCACGTCTAGGAAGGCTGCCCAGGCGGTAGAGCAGGAAGCGGTCCCCACACCCATGCCCCGCACAGCCTCACGCTCCACCCTTCGAGGGGCCCCATGCTCTGGGAGAGGCCAGGGTTGGGGTAATGAGGTCCAGATGGCTTGGCGCCCCCGCCGGTGACGACAGAGGGCCCCGCCCAAAGTGAGGAGGGGGGCCCTGCCTGGGGAGACTTGGAGGGGGCAGGGATCAAGGAGGGGGGCTTGGAGAGCGAAATCAGAGGCCACTGCCCCAGGCTCTGCTCCCCCATGGAGAGCACCTTCGCCTTCAACAGACCCCTCAGGAAGAAGGGGGTCCCTCCCCCCACTCCTTGGCCAGCTGGAGTTCATTACCACAAGCCCCCTCCCCCCCAGCCCTCCCTGCTCTCTCTGGTCACCTCTGGAATCCAGATGTGGAAGCCAAAGGGACTCGTTCTTAAAGGAGACCAGCAGCAGGGAAGGGGGGTGGCTGGGCTTCTCTGTGCCCAGTGGGCAGGGAGGAGTTTGGGGTGGTGCCTCTGTGGGGCCCCATCGCTCCTCGCCCCTCTGGCTGGAGGCACCCTGGGCATCCCCCTCGGACTGCTGGGGGCTGGGGGGCTGGGGTGCAGGGGTTAACAGCGTGTCTGGCAGCTGGACTCATGTGTGTCATGGGCCTGTGGAGGCCACGGAGTAGGAGGCACGCCCTGGAGCAAGAAAACAGGAAGGCTGCGGGGCTGGTGGGGTCAGGGAGGGATGCCCAGCACCCCTGCCTGCCCCAGGGCACTGAGCCCCAAGTTCCCCAGTCCTGCCAAGCCCTCTTCTCCATCCAGCCTGGATGAGCCCCCAGGATTGCCTGCCTCTGGTCCTGACCTCCCACCTCCACCCAGAGGTCTTTGATGAGAGTTTTAAATCCCCCTTTTGGGTGGTTCAGTCCACTCCAAGCCTGTGGTAGGGTCTCAGCCTGCCTCTGGCCACCAGCCAAACCCCTTGATGACCAGTGGCCCTTTACTTACCTCGTCATCCTTGTACCAGGACAGATTCTCGGCGGTCAGCACAAACCAATACTCCTTGGAGCCCCCCTTCATGATACCGATGTTGTTGATGGTCAGCCAGCCCTTCCGGATGACCTGGAGGGTGGGGGGGGCAGGAAGTCAGTGGACAGAGGCCAGGATTCCCCATGGAGGATGGGGTGGGCAAAGAGAGACCCTCAAAAGCTCACCCCTCCCCCAGCTCTTCAAGGCCTGGCTGGTCAGAGAGGGTGGGGGCCAGACCTGCCCTGGTTTGAACCACAAGTGAACAGAGAGGAAGACAGAGGAAGGCAGAGGTCAGCTCAGGATAAAGAGCCTTCTGACAGAGCCATCTGAGTAGAGGACTGGTGGCCTTGGTAGGGGACGAGCTCCCCACTGCTAAAAAGTGTGCAAGCAGAGTTTAGGTGGCTGATTGGGCAAGATAACTCTGAGTATCTTTTCAGGTTAACAGTCAGTTTATTCAAAGACTTTTTCTGACCTCAGGGACTTTGCACGTGCTTCTGTTGACTCTGCCTAGAAAGCACTTCCTCCTGTTGGCCTGGCAAATCCTACTCATCCTCTGGGTATGAGCTCAGAAGTCACATTCTCAGGCAGACTCTTCCCGGCCCCCCATATAAGTCAGGACCCCTATTATAATCTCTCATCACTCCCTTAAGCTTTCTTCTATGACGATGACTGGAATTTTGAATTTGCGTGCGTGTGTGTGATTATCTGTTGATGTCAGTCTGTCTTGCTAAATTGTGAACTCTCTCCCTCACTGGTGTATCCCAGCACTTGGCAGAGTGCTAGGCAAACAGTAAGTTATCAATAAATATTTGTGGCATGAATACATGAATGCCGTGATAGTAGGGTTCTAAGAGTCTTTGCCTCCAAGCCCCAGGACAGGGGTGCGGTGGTAGAGCACAGACGCGGCGGGGAGGAGCTGAGCACAAATTGTCCAGACTCCTCTTCCCTGGAGAAGCCCAGAGTAACAGGCAAAGGTCTCTTTTCACAGCAGGAAGCAGCTGTCTCTGGGACTGTCCTGAGCGACTGACGCAGATTAGGGCCTGTGGATTCTGCTCCAAGGGCAGGGACACTGACCAGACCCTGGTAGTGGGACAGACTGAGGGGACAAGGGAGCTACTTCTGCTCCCTCCCCCAGCCCTGGCCTCCCTGGCTTCTCCCCTGAGCATCCAGAGAAGACTGAGCGGCCTGGGGCTGGCAGGAAAGCCCTCTGGGGTCAAGCCTGCTTCTAAGGCCCCCAAAGCACCCCCCCCGCCCCCCGCCCCCACTCCCAGCCCTCCTTAAACCTCTCTGGCTTCCCTGAGAACCTTGCGGAGAACCTAAGTCACACAGCGGATCACAGCTAGTAGCTGCCTTAGTCATTAACAGGGATGTGGTAGCCAAGTGCCTCATGACCACCCTCCCACCCTGTCCCGGTCTGGAGAGGATCCCCTCAGCATCTTGTCACTGTCTTTGGAATTGAGTCTGAATGCCACTCCCTGGCCCTCCATCTCCCCTGTCTGACCAACAGACCTCTCCACCCTGCTCCCGCCCTGACTCCTGTCCTGCCTCGGCCACCCCCAGCTCTGCCCTCCTCCCTGCTCACCCAAAACCCCCTTCCAGAGCCCCAGCGCCAGGGACCTCCTGTTCCCCCCACTTCCACCCTGCCTGGGGCCTGACTACAAGCCCAGGCTTCCAAGGGGCAGGGCCAGAGTCTGACTCCTGTCCAGGGGCCAGCACAGTACAGGCACCAGTGAGTGTTTGCTGAACCGAACTGCCCTGGGATACTGCATTCATTAGCTCCTTCATTCTATTTAGCACCTACTGTGTGCCAGGCACTGCACTGGGGGCTGAGGATTTACTGGTGAACAGGACAGACCCAGCCCTTCCCCTTATGGGGTTCAAGAGGGAAATGATATGATGCCAGTAATCACACAAACACCTATATTATCACAAAGAAACTACAGCTTCTGGAAGAGCTCAAACTCTATGGCTGGTGGTACAACCGGGGCTGAGAAGTGATGTTTCAGCAGAGATCTGAAGGACAGAATAGGTAAGGAGGCACTGGTCTCTTGACACTTCATTCACTCTTTACTCAACTCTCTAGTAGAGATGCCAGCTTAAAAACATTCTCTCTCATCCATCCGTCCATCTATCCAACCATCCATCCATCCATCCATCCATCCATCCGACCGATATTTAAAGAGCCCCTACTCAGTGCCAGGCCCCTGCCAGGCATTTTCACCCACCCCAGCCCACATGGTCTACCTCTGGCTGAAGTAGATGCTTAGTTCATGCGCAGTGATGGACAGATTGGTGGGACTCTGTGTGTGGCTAGACCCTGCCTCTGGCCTGAGCGCATGTGTGGACACCCATGGGCTGGTGTGTGCAAACCAAAGGGTGCCCTCTTGACCCCTGCACATCCCCACTACAAATGGGTCCCCTCCTCCCCCTCACTACACAAACCAAGAGCCCCAGTCCTGGTACTCACCAGAATCTCATCCTGCAAAGAGGTAACCATAGCAACCACGAGAAGCACCGGGAGAGAGGAGAGAGGGTTACTGATGCAGAGTGGGAGGCTTGTGGCTGGCATCTGACAGGCTCTCTGGCCCCTGTGGGACCCTTCCCCTCGGGGGAGGGGGATCTCAGAGCTTGGCGTCCATCCGGCACCCTCCATCCCTCCGGCTGGGGCACTGGAGTTCACTCACCTGGTTCCCTGAAGCCTTCTTCTTGTTCATCTGGTTGCTCCTCTGCTGAGCACTAATGAGGAGAGAAAGAAGAGTCCCAGAAACTTCTCTCAAGAGGCCCGGCTTCATTGCTACTGCTCAGTGGGCACCAGACCCAGAGGCTTAACCCAACAGGCCTGGGTCCTACACACACATACACACACAGTCACACGAGGTGTCACCTCCTCTGACCAGGGAGCACTCACTTGGCAAAGCCTATGAAGTCCTCATGGTTGGTATTCATGTAAGCCAGTTCAATATCGATGAGGAGCATGACCTTCAAGGATACACAGGTCAGCAGTAAAGTGGAAAAGATACCACAGAGTTTTAAAATGCATGAAAAGCTGGGAGAAGCATACTTGCAGCATGTATAGAGTCCATAATAAATCAATGTATAAGCCACAATAAATAAATGTATCCATAATAGTATCCATAATAAACAAAGAATTCCTATAAATCAATAAGTGGAAGACAAGAAACACAAATCAAAATAGTCCAAGAACATGAATGGGTAACCCATAGAAGAAATGCATACAACCAATAAGGATATGTAAAAAATGCTCCCTCTCATTGATAAAGAAATGTAAGTTAAAGTGAGACCCCTTTTTAACCCATCAAACTAATAATAAATATTGATAATGACCAGTGTGGGCACAACTGTGGGAAGACAGATTCTCTCACATACCATTGGTGGAACTGTAAATTAGTATCACCTTCTTGGAGGGCAGTTTGGCAATATTTGACAACATTAAAATGCATATATTCACTTCTAGAACTATATCTCACAGATAAGCTCCTTGAGTGAGCAAAGATACATGTACCAGGGTGTTCAGTCTGGTGTGGTGCGTTGCAGAGAAAAACTGGGAACAAGCCAATGGCTATCAGAAGGTGAAATAGATTATGGTATCCTCTAAACTAAAAGGCACTCTACAGCTGTTCAGAAGAATGAGGATAACTTCCAGATTCTGGCATGGGAAAATCCCCTTTGCAAATAATTAAGAGTGATGGGATTTGTGACCAAATTGTGATGGGGGTGACATTCCTGATGCTCACTGCCGGGTTCAGACCCAGGCCCTGCTGATTCCTGTGAGTTTGTCCTCACCGAGCTTCAAATTCCACAAATGAAGGGTTTCAGTCTCACAGGAGTGGTGAAGACACAGTGAGGGGAGGAAGGTCATGGGTCTGACCTGTAATAGGTGCTCAACAGATGTTAGCTACAATTATCTTCAGAGAAAAAAAGGCAAGACACACCGCAGGACTGTGATTCTTTAAGAGTAAGAGGAAATCTGGAATCTGTATGTGCCCAGGGAAAATGTCTGGAAGGAGACACACCACACTTTTAATAATGTTTCTTTTATGGGAGACTGCGGGCGGGGAAGCGTGAATGGAGGAACACTTACTCGTAAGTTAATGACTTCTATACTGATTGAATATTTTATTGAGTATTTATCATTTTGTCATTAAAAAGAGACCAGTGAGGATTTAGAAACACAACATCGGCAACAAAAATGTGAGTGATTAGGGACAGCACCATTGTGGAGAAGGGGTGTATGAGGATGGAAGCTGGGAATTGGGAGCCAGAGGTGGGTATAGACAGAAGATGACAGGGAGATGGCCAAGGGAAAAGGACTCGCCTGTGAGCTTTGTGAGAGCCATGAGGGAGCCTGCTCACCTCTGCCCCTCCCAGCTCAGAGGAGCATTCAGGGAATATGCTTCTTATTGAATGAATGAATGAATGAATGAATGAAAGAATATTTGATAAATGACTACATAAAAGGAAGGGAGGGCGCCTATGAGGGGTGTATGGTGACCCAGAGAAACAGCAAAGAGAGAGAGAGAGGCCCCAAGTGAGATGACCAGAGTATAGATAGTTGAGAAGCAGATGGTGGGATTGTAAAGTGGAGCGGCTTCTCTAGAAAACTGTATGGCAGGTCCTCAAAAAGTTAAACATAGAATTACCATATGATCCAGCGATTCCATTTCTGGAAATATACCCTAAAGATTTAAAAGCAAGCTCTCAAAGAGATATTTGTGCACCTGTGTTCATAGCAGCATTATTCACAATAGCCCAAAAGTGGGAAAAAACGGATAAACAAAATGTGGTCTATTCATACAAAGGAATATTATTCAGCCTTAAAAAGGAAAGATATTCTGACACGTGCTACAACGTGGATGAAGCTTGCGAACATTATGCTAAGTGAAGTTAGCCAGAAACAGAAGGACAAATGTATGCTTCCACTTATATGAGGTACCTAGAGTCATCAACTTCATAGAAACAGAAAGGAGAATGGTGGTTGCCAGGGGCTGGGAGGAAGGGGGAATGGGTGTCATTTTTTTGGTTTGTTTTTTGCTGCATTGTGGGGCATGTGGGATCTTCATTCCCCAACCAGGATTGAACCCGCACCCCCTGCATTGGGAGTGTGAAGTCTTAGCCACTGGACCACCAGGGAAGTCCCTAGGAGTCACTGTTTAAGGGGGACAGAGTTTCATTTTAGGAAGATGAAAAGTTCTGAAGATGGTTGGTGGTGATGGTTGCACAGCAGTCTGAATGTACTTAATACCACTGAACTGCACAATTTAGAGCGGTTAAAATAGTAAAATTTATGTTATGTATATATTTTCTCACAACAAAAAAGAGAGCAAGAGAGAAGCAGAAAGTTAATACAAGGAGAGAAAGTATAAGAGAGACTGAGACAGAAGAGACAAAGTGGGAAGAAGGAGGTGAGCCCAAGGGCAGGAGTGAAAGGTGAGGGAAGAGGGGGTGGTGCGTGGGCTCACCTGCTCCTTGGTGCGGCCCTCGCGCTCCCGGATGTGGGTGGTCACGATGCGCTCCATCTCCTCCCGCAGCCGGGGGTACTGCTGGAGCTGGGGTGGGGGCAGGGGAGAGAGCCACGTACACTGGGGGCACGGGTAGGGGGCACCCAAACCCCACCAGAATCCAGGGCCGTGGGGTGGGAGGGACACACAGAATGCCCCACACCTGGGGGCCCAGGAAGCTGATGGCACCCAGCCACAGCCACCCCTTTCCCCCAATTGTGGGCTCCAAATGGCAAGTCAAGGGTCTTCCCAGTCCCGGGCCCTCTTCACTAGCCTACCTGGGCGACTTCACGGGGGCCGGCAGTTCCCATGAGCACAAATGCCTTGGGAATCAGCCTGCTCCTCGGCCGCCATCTTGGTGGCAGCCATCTTGGAAACAGACCTATTCGATTGAGGCCTCTGTTTGGGGCGCTGTTAGCGCCCCAAACTTTCACTGATCCTCAGGGCTACCCCTTGCCTCCTCAAAGGCTTGGAGGCACAGTCAGGTGGGGAATCAGGCAGGTAACAGCCTGCAGATTACGATCCAGGGAGAATCTGGGGAGGGCAGGGCCCGAGGTGCCAGGTGGCCTCCTGAGTCAGGCTGGGGACAGGCAGTGCTCCTTGTCAGAGCTGGGGGAGGGGAGCAGGGGAAGACCAGCAGCTACACAAAGGACATGCAGGAGGCACAGGCATGCGAGGGCATTGGGGGTGGGGTGGGCATGCGGAGTGGGAGTGCCAGCAGCATGAGCAGTACCCTGCGGGGGCCCTCTTGGTCGAATCCACCCGGCTTTGCCTCCCTTTGCATGCCCTGTCCCGGCACCGCTAACCCGACACATCTGCCTGGCTCAGAGCTGGCCGGCCAGCCTGTCTCTACCCCACTCCTCTGGGGGTAGAAGCTCAGCAGCACCCTTCTACCCACCCCCCACCCCCCGCAGTTTTTATCAACTGAGGCCAAAGGGAAGTTGCTCCAAACCCTTCCCCCCTGCCTGTGGACTCTGCCTTCAGCTCAGCCAGGCTCTGGACAAAACCCGGGTTGACTCCTTCTTCAGGACTCTGTTGAATATCGTGTCTTCCAGAGAGCCTACTGTGACCACCTCCATGTGCCCCATCCCTCTCCACCCCACTTCCCTCCCCAAACTGGACTGTAATTGCCCTGAAGGTAGGGCCCATGGCTGGGCACACTGCCAGTGCCCAAAGAGGGCACGTTGAAAGAATGAGGGAATGAATGAAGGATGGAAGTCTTTGCCCTCCTTGCCAGGGTGAGCAGACATGGGCTCCTCTGCCCTCTGGCTCATGAACCGGCAGCTCCTTGGAGAGGGGGACTCGCTGAGCTGCTGATGGTGGAAGTCTATCCAAGGGGACTTCCTCCTCTGCCATGGAGGGGCCCAGGCTGGGCAAAGCTAGACCCACACCTTGTCTCTCTTCCTATCCTGGGTCAGGCCCCGCAGGTGGATCCCCCTATGTGGGAAGAGAGCTGGAGGTTAGCGTGCCTGGGTCACAGGTAGTGATTCTGAAGGCAAGATGGAGGCCAAGGGGATGGGGTGGGGGAGGGGTGGGGGGCATCAGGAGAGGCAGGAGGATGGGGGAGAGAGCAGCGCCCTGGATGCCAGCCCAGGAGAGGCAGACTTGAGAGATGCCACATCCTCCCCACTCCCCGCTGACTGTTCCGTGGCTCTGCCAAGGGTGTGGCTCATGTGGCCAAGCTCAGGGGACCTGGAAGAGAGGCAGCCTGAGAGGCGGGGCTTAGAAACAGCACTGGCTGGAGGGACCCAGTGGACCCTTCTGCACCGAGAGGCTCAGGGATAGGCCATCACTCCTTCTCACGATCCCCGAGTTGGGGTAGATTTGGGACCGAGTCACGGCCACCAGCAAAGCCTCCTCTGAGATGGTCCCAAGTGCTCCCTCCCTGGGTGGCGTCGCGGGAGGGGCAAGGAGGGAGGAGGAGGGAGCAATTTGCCAAAGAGCATGACCAGTTCTCCCACTAACGGCCTGGATATTACATTTGTCAAGTTTTCCATGTGTCACAAATGACAGGGCAGCCTCAGCCCCTTTGAGAAGTTCTGTTCCCTTTGAGCATCTTTTTCCATTCTGGCTGCCTCTGAGCATTTCCAGAACTTTCAGCCAGTTTTTAAAATGGAACTTTTCTCTCTCAGGTCTTGGCTAAGTGGGGCAGTCAGCCTGGAGCCCACTGTTTAGTGGTCAGGAATGCAGGCCCTGGAGCCACCATGGCTCTGGGTTCAAAGCCAGCCCCCTACCCTGCTGACCTTCCTTGGGAAAGTGCTTGGACCCCTCTGAGCCTCAGTTTCTCCATGTGTGAAATGAGGTAATAATGGCACCTTCCCTCTTAGGGTTGTTGAGAGGACTGAGAAGCACACCCTGTGCTGGACATTAAACTCCAGATTTCATCCAGAGATGAAACTCTAATCCCAGCAGGGCTAGGAATAATCAGCAGGAATGGCTTGCTAAATTTAGAAGATTTGGGGAGGGAAAAAAAAAGAGGAAGATGGGTGAATTTTGCTATGTAAACAAAAAACTACTATGCATTAAATCAATTAAAAGGCAATTTTTTAAAGAAATAATTTATAAGCTTTCCTTTCTAAAGTTTTTGTTGATCAATTTTTCTCCTTACAAAAATTTACTGACTCACTGTAAGAAATCTGAATATGACAAAAGTTTGTGAAGTAGAAATGAAAAAATTCCTGTGTTCTTTGCCTTCTTAAAATAATGGTTAGTAACTATGCCTTTGGAATTTTATCACTTATGTAGATTATTATATTATATATATTTATCATTTATATATATTACTTTCCCCCCCAAATTCTATACGTTCGTCTCTGAAACCTGCTTTTCCCCCCACAGTACATTGTGGAAGGACACGTGAATGGAAATAAATATCCCTTGCCCTTTTAACAACTATAGTCTTTCATTGTCTGTGTGATACCATAGTCAATCCCCTCTTGATGGACATCTGGGTTGTTTCCAAAATATTACCATTTACCCTAATTAGTGCTTTTTTGGAAGGCAATTCAGCAAAGTGTTCCACAGTTTTTAAATGTTTATATCTAGTAATCAGTCTTCTAGGAATCTATCCTAAGGAAATAATCCTAGAGAAAGAAAAATAAAATTCTTTACACACAAAGATGTCCATTGCCAGGGTATTTATAATATTGAAAAACTAGAGACTGTTTCAGTGTTCACCAATAGGAAAATGGTTAAGTAAACCGTGATAAATCTATTCAATAGAATATTATGCAATCATTAAAAATGTTCACATAGGGACTTCCCTGGTGGGCCAGTGGTTAAGAATCCACCTGCCAATGCAGGCGACACGGGTTCGAGCCCTGGTCCCGGAAGATCCCACATGCCGCGGAGCAACTAAGCCCATGCGCCACAACTACTGAGCCTGTGCTCTAGAGCCGGTGAGCCACAACTACTGAGCCCATGCACTGCAACTACTGAAGGGTGCGTGCCTAGAACCCGTGATCCGCAACAAGAGAAGCCACTGCAATGAGAAGCCCGCGCACTGCAACGGAGAGTAGCCTCTGCTCGCCGCAACTAGAGAAAGCCTGCACGCAGCAACGAAGACCCAACGCAGCCAAAAATTAAATAAATAAATAAATAAATAAATTTATTTAAAAAAATGTTCACATAGACTATGTAATAACACCCACCAAAATGTATGTTATTAAGAGAAAAAGCAGGATACTAATATATTCACAGTGTAAATACCTAACAAAGTAAATAAACCTATGTATAGAAAAAAGAGTTTGGAGGAATAAATTGGTGAAAACTCTTTGGAGAGCAAATCTTGCAGAAGTTACCAAAACTGTGAGTGCTCACATCCATTGACGAGGCAATTCTATGCTAGAAATTTGCTCTAAAGAAATGACAGGATAAGTACTACAAATATATTTATAAGGCTATTCACTGCAGCACTGTTTGTAAAAGAAAAGAAAAAGTGGAAACAACCTAAATGTCTGTCAATAGGATATTGAATACATAAATCATGTCATATTTCTACAGTGGAATACAATTCAGCTGTTCAAGGGCATGATCTTTACGTAGCTACTACAAGGATTCCACTCCACATTGCTCAGTAAAAAAGAAGAGTTCACTATCAGTGTGGTCAGTGTGATCCCTTTTAGGTTAAAACCGGTGTATATTTGTAATTAGTTAGGAAGGGTGTGCTGCTAGCAGTCTTTATCTCTAGGGCTGTGAGCTTATAGGGACTTTTGCTTTCTCTGTGCAGTTTGAATATTTTGATAACAATCATGTATGATCAGAACAAAATCAATACCGATAATTTCATTTTTTAAAAAAAGGAGTGTATTTGCAGGAAATGTACAAAAATCTCAGTGTGGCTCTTGGAAAGGGAGTGTTGTTGCCTCCTTTTCACTCTTGGGCATTTTCCAAATTTTCTCTAATTGAGAGTGTGTTCCTTTCAAAATGAAAACCCAAAATTTTTAAAAATTTAGATATATTTTGTGTTCTTTTGTAAAGAGATTTGAGGCAGCTTAAAATAAACTCGGTATTTTTTAGTTTAACAAAAGTTAAGATTGCATTGCTTAGTATTCATGATGCAGTGGGACCATGATTTAGATATCATGATATATACTATGCAAGAGAAAGTCCAGCCCAGATTTGATTCCACCTGGATCAGGCACTGAGTGGATGCTAATTTGCTTAATCTATCCCCATTTGGCAAAAGTGAGATAGGATTGTGTAAGGGGCGCACAGGACTAATTATATATGAGCCACAAAAACCGTGATACTTATTTAAAACATGAAGTTAAGGCAGATGTTCCCCCACCTCCCAGTGTAGGGAGATTTTGCAAATACAAGTGAGGCTGGGCTCATGCAGGCCCCTGGGAAGCACTGCTTTAGATGATCTGGCGAAAAGTCCCCAAAATGCCCCAAAGTAGACAAATAGGAAAAAGCCATCTAAAAGGTCACGGACGACTCAAAAGAGGCTGACCCTGTCAAACATGTATGGATTACAGTAAAGTGAGTAACCCAATATGCTTTTAGGCAAATTGGTTTTGAGGGGCTGGGATAGCTCCCCTGCCCCAGGAGGCCCTGATCCCAGATCTCTTCCCTCAGCCTCCCTAAATCTGAATCCCACTCTGCTGTTCTTTTCTGAGACTCAGTTTTGTCATCTGTAAAATGGGGATAAGACTACTCACTGCTTAGGGTTGTTAAAAGGATTAAGTCAGATGACAAGGGCAGGCACTTAGCCTAGTGCTTGGCACACAGTAGGTGCTCAATAAACAGCGGCCATTCTCCTTATCATCATCACCATCAAAGCGGCCATTGAGGATGCTTGGGTTAGAGCAAAGTCTTCTGGGAGAGGTGGGGGCCTGAAGGAATCATGAGTACAGTAGACCCGGGGTTAGAAGCCGGCATGAGACCTTGGGGCCAGGAATCAGCCGGGCCGGCCTGGGCATCTGGGTCCACCTGGGTGGCTGAGAGGCTGCCGGGCTTGCTCAGCAGTTGGTTCTTGCCCACGGGAGGCCCTGGCCATGAGGAAGGGGTGGCCAGGCCCAGCCCCTCCTGGGCGGCCATCATACCTTTTCGCTACACTTTCTGATGGTGGCTGTGAGCTCACTGACTACCATATCCACACACTTGATACTGGGCTCTTTAAGCTTCTGCACCTGCTTTTTCACTGTGGCTTCAAAGGCGAGGTCAGGTGTGAAGAGGCCTGTCCTGCACCCGGGGAGGAGGAGGGGAGCAGGGGCGGAGCAGCCGGGGCGGGCGGGCGAGGAGGAGGAGGGCAGTGAAAGCCAAGCAGAGCCAGGGGCCGGGGTGGAGGATGGCACGGACACGAGGGAAGAGAGAGACACCGACACAGAGAAAGAGAGACAGAAGAGAAGACAATGTGAGCGTGGGACCTGGCCCTCCTGCCCACCTGGATCGGCACCTCCCAGGTGCTGCCAAGCAACCCCCAGGGCTCTGAGGGTGTGGGAGGGGTCTGAGGGACCAAGCCCCTGCCCCGTCCAAGGGCACTTACTGAGTTCATATTCTCTCCCCAGGGCTTGCCTCCCTCCTCTCCCCCACTCTTCAGCTACACCGAGCCTGCCCTCTCTCTCTTTGTCCTTTTCCTATGCCATCCTGCTGAGGAGCTGACCCAGGCCACACCCACCCACCCACATTCTGTTCAATTCTAGGTTTCCCAGAACCTCCTGTATTCGCTTCATCCCGACTCCAAAGCCCAGCACCATTCCCTATTCTCCACCAAGGTTGTTGCATTCAGCTGCCCAGGCTGTGCACTGCACAACTCCAGGGGGCTCCATTTCCATAGACTACGGGGCAGATGATGCCTCCTGGAGTTGCTGTGTAGCTGCCTGATCGCCATTCTCCAGCTCCCTGCTCTACTCCTGCCCTTCCCTTTCTCCTCAAGGGGCATCCTTTGCCTCTCCTCCTAAGGAGTCTGGAGGAGCTCAGTTTGGAAAGACAGAGAGAGAGAAGAGGAAAGACAGAAAGAGTGGAGATGGTGATAGAGAGGGGCCAGGGCAGCAGTGGCGAGGGGAAAGGAAGGGAGTCTGGGGCACTGGACTTGGAGTCCAAAGCCTTGGCTCCAAGTAACAGCTCTGCCACCTCCTAGCTCAAGTCCTCGGGCAAGTCACTTGATCTCCCGAGCCTCAGTTTTCCTGCTGTGAAGTGGGCGCCATCCTCCCTGCCCTGCCGTGCCCTCCTTCAGTGGTTCTGTGAGGCTCAAATGACATAGCAGAGGGGGCTCTGTCCCTGGAAGGCTGGATGTGGATGGAAGGGACGGGGAAGGTCCTGAGTGAGGGTCCTGAGTGAGGATGGCGTGAGATGGGGAAGATGAAGGACAGTGGGGAGTCAGGGTACCTGCTTGACCTGGGTCCTCTGAATCCCTCTGGTGTTCCAGGCCCCTAGGGCAGCACCCAAGAAGGTCCTGTACTTCATCTGTCTCCAGGGACAAGACTTCCCCAAGACCCCTCCCTGGAGCCCCCAAAGATGACCCCATCTCTGAGAGCAGGGAGGGGGCTCAGGGTCCCCTCTTCTCCCTGAGCTGGGGCAGCTCTTGGTGGGCTCTCAGGGCAAATTACCACCATCATACCTGTCTTTCCAATGTCTAATCCCTTGGTTCCCCTGGTCTGGGGGCCGGGGCTGGGTGAGGCCCCCTCAGAGAGTCCCCCTCTCCTGGACTGTGGTGGCCTGCCTCCCCCACCCCGCTGAGGTCTGTACATGCTACCAGGAGGCACTGGGGGAGGTGGGGAAGGAGCGCCTGGCAGCAGAGCAGGGCGGGGCAGAGGCAGGGGCTGGCCGGGCAGCTGGTTACCTTCTTGGTGCACTGTCTAACGGTGCTGATTAGCTCCGAGATAACCATGTCCACACACTTGAGACACGGTTCTCGGATCTTCTTCACCTGCTTTTTCACAATGGTCTCAAAGGCCATGTCTGGGGTAAAGAGCCCCGTTCTGAACGCCCGGAGCGGAAGAAGGGCACGGTGTCACAGACCGGCTCCTGCCAGGAGCACCAGGCCAGGGCCCCGCCCCGCCCCCCTGAGCTCTGCCCTCGGGGTCCTCCCACTACCCCTGTCTGGACTTCAGTGTCCCCATCTGTAAAATGGGCAGGAGGGATTCTGATGAAGGCCTTTCAATCGAAGCTCTTTAGGGCAAGACAAGGTCTGCTTATAACTGTTGCATTTGTCCTGCTTTGTCTTCAGATTCTGCTCATACAAAATGTTCTATGGCTAGAAATGGTTTGAAAACTGTCAAACTGGGTTTTCTTTAAGAGCCTTTCTGGGAATAAAGCATTTTATTTTAAGACTAGGAAAGAGATTTTTTTTCTTTTCTGTGCAGTCTGTAAATTCCATGCCAAACCTTGGAACTGAACCTGCATGAAAGCAGTGACATTTCAGTCTTGTTCACTGCCTGGCACATAGCAGGTGCTTTAAGTTTTCTTGTTGAATGGACAGTGTCGATCTGGGTCCCTGGAGCGGGGCGAAGCTTTTTAGGAACAGTCTATTTTCCAGCCTTTGTCCCGGCTCCACAGGCCTTGGGGCTGGCTAGCAGGAGGGAAGTGGGGTGGAATGGGGCCAACTTCGGGCTAATGGGACTGTGGCAGGGTCTGGAGGGTTGAGAGGCCTCATCCCATCATAAAAGTTTCACAGACTAACACCTGATGCACCAGCCCAGGCCCTACCCAGTGGTTTGGGCAGCTTTGTTCTGGATAGCACTGGGGGGAGCTGTCCTACCCTGGGGATGGGCAGGGGGCCCAAGCCCGAAGGGTGCTTCCCCAGCCACCTGTGTCTCGGGCTCTACCCCACTGTTCTAGCCTCCGGGCCGCTCCCAGGGACAAGCAAAGGAGGGTAGCAGGCTGCAGGTAGGGCGATGGCCTGGGTCTCCCATCCACCTCCCCTATCCAGAGCCTGTCCAAGCTGGGAGCCAGAAAGTCACGGTTGAGGAGATTGGGGACTAGGTAGGGCTCTTGGTCCTTCCTCAGGGAGGCTCACTCCATCACTCCCTCTGTCTCTGCACTAGACCCCTCCTGCCTTGCAGGGTTCAGCTCCCCTCCCCGGTCCCAATACGTGCCTAATGCCATGTATATTCTTAATGGCATAGCTGATCTCCCTTCGGAGTTCCTTCTCGTCAAACTCCATCTGTGTAGGAGACAAAGAGATGGCTGGTCAGGGCCTGTTCTGCTACCTGGGGGGTCAAACAGGGTCCACCTCACTCCCAGAGCTGGGCATCAGGGCCTCTAGTGGGGTCAGCACATGTACGCATGAGAGAGTCTTAGGTAGGTGGGTGGGAGGGTAGTCCTGAGCCCTCCTGCCCCTGGGGGGTCTGCCTACCTTGACCAGTTCAAAGGGGAAGCGCTCATGGAAGATCCGGTTGATGCGGGCTCCCCCCGACAGTTCATAGGTATCGATCTGGTCCCCTGAGCCCTCAATGCGCTTCTCAAAGTCTACAGCAAATTGCTGGACCATCCTGGGGAGAGAGTGGTATGACCTGAGGGGGCAGCAGCCACCTTGGGCAGGGAGCCCTGCGAGAGCCCTGTGCTGAGAGGCTGCGGGGAGTGGCAGCCCCATCATGGGGAGTCAGGAGTTGGGGAGGGCCTCACTGCAGCAGAGCCTTGGTCTTGCGCGCTGGGTCATCAGGGCGGAAGTTCTTGTACTCCTCCACCTCCTTCTCAATGGACAGCAGCTGGCTCTGAAGCTTGTTCCGCAGCCCTGGCAGCGTGTCCCGGATGTGGTTTGTCAGTTGCTGGCGGTGGGGGCGAGGAAAGGGTTAAGGCCATGGTCACAGACCCAGAATGCCCACAGGACCAAGCAGGGGCCAGGATGTCTGGGGCCCATGTGGATGTGGTGAGGTGCAGAGCCACAGCCCTGCCCACTGCTGTCCTGCCCACCAGAATGAAAGCTGCCTGAGGGCAGGGACTGGCACACAGTAGGTGCTCACAGAGGTGTATTAATTGAATGAATGAGTCAATAACTCCATTTTCAGTAGAAGCCAGAAATCTAGATTTTTATCTGAAATTGCCTGATCTTGACTAATTTAATAGTTTTAGACACCACAAGAGCCAGATGAAATGAATCAGGGGCAGTGATGGCTGGAAGACTGCCCCCTTGTGCCCTTTGGGTTTAAGGCCTCCCTTGAGGTAATTCTCAAGTTCTGAGGCTCACTCTGGTTAGGTCTCCACACGCAGCATCTCCCTGAACTGCAGAATGACCCTAAGAAACAGGTTTCATCTCCATTATCACCATTTTACAGATGCAGAAATAGAGGCTCAGAGAGCTGGAGAGTCTTGGTGGGTGAGTGACAAAGCTGAGACTAGAACCCAGGTATGTGGTCTCCAGAGACCCCAGTTTTGTCCCATGCCACACTGCCTTCCTACTGTCAATACACATACACATACACACCCCTCAGTAATTCTGGAAGCCCCATTCCAGATGGAGAAACATCCTAGGGAAGCCCCTGGGTTCACCCCCTCCGCAGATCAGCCTCTCCCCATTTCAGAAGGAGCAAAGGTCTTTAGCCAACCATACTCCAATCCTAGCCCCCAAGCCCAAGCCCTTGTCAATGCCACCGTCCACACAAGGTCTTGGACTTCTCTCCATTCTGGGGCGTTCCTAGGGCTCCCCTTCCTGGCCTTGGACAGGGAATGGTCAGCAAAGCTCTAGTGCTACCTCACTGTGGGACAGTGGGCAACCCTCACAAAATACACTTAAATGATTCTGTTACGCTGGTTTCTTCAGGCCTCATCCTGGCCTGAGCCCCTACCTGGTTAAGGACCTTCTGCAGGTAGGGCGTGCCCATGCGGTCAGCCAAGTGGCGGTAGGAAGGGTGGGAGAGGAAGAACTTGCGTTCAGCAGCCAAGGCAGCCGTGATATCCTTCTTCCCATCGATGTCCTTCTGGCTCCGGTTCACCACTCCAATGTAGCCTGTGGATGGGGTGGGGGTCAGGGGCAACCAGCCTTGTGGGGGGTGGGGGGGCGGTGTTACGAGGAGGGGCAGTGGGGGTGGGTCAGGTGTGTGGCCTGCCGACCTCTGCGCAGCGGGAGCAGCTTGTTCTCCAGAACATCACGGGCATCTGTGCCCTCGTCCATCAGGTCCAGCTTAGTGATGACCCCGATGGTGCGCTGACCTGGGGGTGGCAGGAGAGGGTTGTCTACACCTGCACTTGCCCTCACACAGGCGACCCCAGGCACTCCCAATCCCACCCCACTCCCCCATCTCCCAGCCCACTCCTTCCCTTACCCACTGCCTGCCTCTGCTCTCCCCACCTCATTCATTCTCCACAGTAGCCAAAATGATTTTTAAAGGCATAAATCTGATCCCACCCCTATTCGCTTAGACCCTCCAGTGGCTCCCCCTTACGCTGTGAATAGACCCCCAGGGCCTTGCGCATCGGCTACCTGTGAAAACCTACCCTGGGGGTCCACCTCCTTGGCGACCTTGAGGGCATCAGAGTTGGCCAGGTCGGAGTTGGCTGGGGACACGGCCAAGATGAGGCAATTCTCCTTGGTGACGAACTGCATAAGCATGTCCCGGATCTGGAACTCGATGTCGGGAGGTTGGTCCCCCACTGGGACCTTGGTCATTCCGGGCAGGTCCACTAAGGTCAGGTTCAGCACTGGACAGGGCGGCGAGAAGGCGTGTTCAAGGCGAGGGGCGTGGCCGGGGGCGGGCGGATTAAGGAACAGGGCCGGGCTTAAAGAGGATCTGTTTGGGAGCGTGGCCGTAGGTGGGTGGGGCTAGGGAAACGCGAAGGGCTAAACGGAGGCCCGTTAGAGGCGTGGCCAGGGGTGGGCGGAGCCGTGGCAGTGTGGGACTGGGGTAGGACGCGCAGAGGAGGAGTCGCTGTGGGGGCGGAGTCTACAGGAGGAGTGAAGCCCTTGAGGAGGTGCCAGCTAAGGGGCGGGGCCAATAAGATGGTTCCCAAGGGGCGGGGCTCAGAGACGGAGCCAAGAGGCTGGGGGCGGGGCCAGGGCCAGGTCTCCTCACCGTGCGGCGAGTAGACGCGGAGGTTGATGGGCACCGGAGAGATGCCCTTGTTAGTGCCAGTCACCCGGTCGGTCTCAGCCTCAATCTCCAGGCGCACCTCCTCGAAGTCGGTGAATTTCTTCCCCTTGCAGTGCAGGAACTCGGCATATTCTGCCCCAGAAGGAGGGGGGGCAAGGGCGAGTAAGCATCATAATAGCCGGCACCCACCTGGGTCCCATCTTCCGCTGGGAAAAGACCCCCCCCCACACAAACACACAAAACGTTGCCTTCTTCTCCCTCCCCCCACGCAAAGCCACCTCTCTGTTACGCATTTTTATCCCCGCTGTTCGGATGGGGAATGAGGCCCAAAGAGGGGAAGCCCATACCTGTGGTAGCATTGACCAGCTGCAGGACCAGGGGGCGTCGGGTGACAATGCCAGATCCTCGGGGCAGGAAGTCCCTGCAGTGAGTTGGGGGTGAGAAGAGGGGCAAGGTCTGAGGAGGCTCCCTCTGTCCCAGGGGCACTTGTCCTGCCACTGGGAGCCCCAAAACTTGCCCAAAGTTCCCTGCCACACCTTAGCCTAAGGGCTTCACTATGGGAAGAAGGCAGCTGAGAAAGGTGTAACAGATCACCCCCAAATCCTCTGGGTCACAGAATTTGTGCTTCTGAACTGGCCCCCAGACCTCTCTCAGGTCTGCCCTGTGTTAATTCTGAGCCAACAGGAAGTCCCTGCCCCAACCCAGCCACTGCCATTCAACTCACGAGAAACTGAGGCATGGGGTGCCCCACCCCACGTGCCCAAGCGTCCAGTGGCCACAGAGTGGATGCCAAGGAAACGGAGTTGCACCTCCTCCCCCCCTTCTGCTGTGGGGAAAGGCAGCATCTCACTTCCCCTTCCCTGGCCCCATCTGGTTGGGGTTGAGGATGAGGGGGATGGGGGGAAGGAGGAGGCAAGGAAAAGAACTCATGCTCCTTAAGTACCTACTGCATGCCAGGCTTTTCGTGGGCAATATCTCCTGGACTCCACACAATAGCCTCATGAGGAAGACACTGTATTATCCCCATTTTACAGACAAGGAAACTGAGGCTCAGAGACATTCAGGTTGCCCAGCCAGTATCTACCAGACCCTGGGCACAGATCTGTTTGACTCTCTGGTGAAAGCTTTCTGCCCTTCAACTCCCTGAAGACCCAGCTCCCTTTTTTTTTTTTTTTTTTTTTTTTTGCGGTACGCAGGCCTCTCACTGTTGTGGCCTCTCCCGTTGCGGAGCACAGGCTCCGGACGCGCAGGCTCAGCGGCCATGGCTCACGGGCCCAGCCGCTCCGCGGCATGTGGGATCTTCCCCGACCGGAGCACAAACCCGCGTCCCCTGCATCGGCAGGCGGACTCTCAACCACTGCGCCACCAGGGAAGCCCCCCAGTTCCCTTTGAAGGACTGGACTGAGACGTCCCAAATTCACCTCATGCCCCTAGACCTGATGTCTATTCCTCAGACATCTGCTGTGTCAACTTCAGCAGTCCTTTCAGCTAACTCTTGAGGGTGACACTTCTCTCTGTCCTGTCAGCTCTTCTCATCTCCCCACCCACACAACCACGGCCCCACCCAGGCCAGCACAAGAAGGAGGGTAGGGGCCTCTCCAGGGATCAGGCTCTTGGGATCACAGTTATGGGATTCCCAGGACTCAGGAAAGGGGGGAGGAGGCCAGAGCTTGAGGGACCACAGAGACCTGGCCAGTCACCTCATTCATGGAGAGGCACATGGAGGCCCAGGGAGGGGAAAGGATACACTCAAGATCCTATAAGGGGGACTTCCCTGGTGGCGCAGTGGTTAAGAATCCGCCTGCCAATGCAGGGGACACGGGTCCAAGCCCTGGTCTGGGAAGATCTCACATGCCACGGAGCCACTAAGCCCGTGTGCCACAACTGCTGAGCCTGTGCTCTAGAGCCCGCGAGCCACAACTACTGAAGCCCGTGCACCTAGAGACCGTGCTCCACAATAAGAGAAGCCACTGCAACGAGAAGCCCGTGCGCCACAACGAAGAGTAGCCTCCGCTCGCTGCAACTAGAGAAAGCCCGCGTGCAGCAACGAAGACCAAACACAGCCAAAAATAAATAAATAAATAATTTTTTTTTTTTAAAAAGATCCTATAGGGCTGGGACACAGCCAGATCATGAACATGGATCCCCTGCCCCCAGCCCAGAGCCTGACCCGGACTCACAAAGCAGGTTTGGGGCAGAGGGTTTGGGGACAACAGAGTAGGCCCAGGTTTCTGGGTTCAAGGCCTCATCTGGGGGCCCTGGGGAGGCCTCTTTCATCCCCTGTTCTCACCTTGCCCCACCTCTGGGGAGAGCAGAGGCTAATTGGGAAGAGTCAGCCACCTTATGGGGAAGGAGAATGATAAATCCTGCATTTATCCATCATTTCTAGGTGCCAGGCAAATGCTTTTCATTTGTGCAAGACTCTGAGCTTCAGAAGGGTGGGCTTGCCTCTTTCCGTCTGTCGCTGTATCCCATGGCTCAGCACAAGGCTTAGCACACAAGACGTCCTTAATAAATGGGCACTGAATTCCCAAGTCCTCCAAAAGTGCTCTCATATGGAAATGATCATTTTCCAGATGAGGCAACTGAGGCTCAGAAAGGTGAAGTGACTTGGCCAAGTTCACCCAATGAGGAATGGCAGAGCTGGGATTCAATCCTGGTGCTGTTGGACTCCAGAGCCTGCGAACTTTCCCATCAAACTCTGCTGCCCTCGAAACCTGAGGAGCCAGACTTGGCTTTTTATGTAATTCAATTAAATTCAGTCTAGAATATATTTGGGAGCAGCTGCTCTGTGCCAGGCTCTGTGCTGGGCCCTGGGGATGGGAGGAGATGAGTCAGACAGTTCCCACCCCGAGGAGCTCACAGCATGGTGGGAGAGACAGAAGTAAACAGATAATGCAATGCAATGTGACATGTGCTGGAATGGAGGTGCACCAGGCAGCACAGAGAGGGAGGTGATTAACTGGGGGCAGGGGGAAGCGAGCAGGGCGGGAGCTTCCTGTCTCTGTCTCTCCCATCCTTTATCTGCTGATGCCTTTGCAGGGGTGACCCCCTAGTACTTGGGATCCCTCAGGGCTGTGGAGGTAAGACATCTATTCTCACAGAGGCTGGGGTGGGCCTGGGGGCCTGGGGTCTACCTTCTTCCCCACCAGCTCCTCACCCAGCAGTACCATGGCAACAGTAGTTGCCATGGAAACTGCAGGAGGGTTTGGGAAGGATGGGACTCCCCACAGAGAGCCCCCTCCCCATGCAGAGACATGAACCTTCCCTGGAGCTCTTCCCTGAGAGCACCCCTCCGCCCCCCACACCGATGGGCCCACTTGGCCCTGGCAGGCCAGAGGGGTGGAGGTCCCTGAGGTGCCACATAGAGGGTGTGGGGAGCCCAGGGCCCAGCTGGAGGGGTGGTCAAGGGTCTGCGCCAGCCTGCTCCGAGTTGCTGCCTCCCAGGGCTACTTAAAGGACAAGCAGCTTATGGGAAGCTGAGATTAGAGCACAGGGCCATGTGTGGGAGAAGAGTGCCTCCTCAGACCAGGATCTCCCAGGGCCGGGGTGGGGATGGGGTGCCCAGGTGGGGAGGGACCCCATCTTGGCCCTGGCCCAGGTTCTCAAAGGGAGGCCCTCACACAGTCTGTGTCAGAGTTCCCCAGGCAGCCTGTTCAAATGCACATTCCTCGGACAGGCTGGGTTAGAATCTCGGGGCGGGGTTGGGGGTGTGCAGGGGAGGGGAGGAGGGAATCTGGATTTTAAACACGATCCCCATATGATTTTCATGTTCCTGTCAAGTTTAAGGATCACTGGCTCAGTGGTGAGGAGCCAGTGCCAGGCAGAGGCCCTGGGTTCGAATCCTGCCTTGGCCATTCCCCGGCCTGGTGCCCCCGGGGCAAGTTGCTTCATGCTCTGGGCCTCAGGGGCCTCAGCTGTAAACCACATGATCTAAACCGGGCATCGTACACTACCACGCATGGCTGCGGGAGGAGCCCTGGAGCCCTTTCACCAAAGAGCTTAGCCCATGCCTGGTACAGAGTAGGCGCTCAGCAGTTGGAGGGGCCTGTCAAGGAGGTCCTCCCGTCCTCGGTCTCCTCCCTCGGAGGCTCCCCAGATTCCAGCAAGGAATCCAAGATCCTGAAGAGCCCTCTGCCTCACCTCCTTCGGGCACTGAATTGGATCTTGGGATTCTGACCACAGAATGTTGGATGGAAACGATGGACATCAAGGAGGTGCAGTTTTCAGAGAACATCTCACTCCCCTGTCATTATCCAGAGGGTGGAACAGAGGCCCACAGAAGGGCAGGGAGCTGTGAGGCCACACAGCAATGGGAGAGGTAGGAGAGGTGGCCGAGATGGGACCAGGACCGGGAGGCCGGCTCTCCGGCCCCACATGCCTGGACAGGCAGTGACGCACCGGCTGGTTCCCATGTCCAGACTGAGCGCCTTGCTCCCTGTTGGATTCCCACGCTGGGCACAGGCTGGGCTACAGCAGGGGCTCAGGCAACACTGGTAGGAGCGAGCACGGCTGAGCGGCTCCACAGCTCCTGCCTTTCAACCGGAAAGGCTGCCCCACGCCCTCTGTTAAAGTGTACCTTGGTGCCTCCCCACTGGGGATTCGGGCCTGATCTGGTTTCCAGCCAGAGCCCCCCCTGCACCTCCCACCCAGCTCCTGGTTAGCCTGAGGGAGGACAGAACAGGTGCCCAGAGAAAAGTGTGCCGGGCCCACCAGCCTCGAGTGACATGTGGGAGGGGTGGATGGTGACAGGCCAGCCCCTCCCACTCATCCTGGACAGATGGTGGTTTCCCGGGGAGGCCTTGCCTTGCCATCTGCAGAAGTACCTTCAAACCTGAAGCACAGGGAGGATGAAATAAACACGTCTCACGACCTCCAGGCACTACATACTCCCCGTCTGAATTGGCACTGTCACCCCAGAGGGGCCTGGAGAAATGACACCAAAGGGCCGAAGTGACCCCACCCCTACTCTGGTGTCCGAGATCCGGGACTATTGCTCTGGAACCCTGGTGTCCGGGTCCTGCTGAATGTAAACAACAGCAGAAAGTAGCATGCTTGGTCTGGCGTGTACCCAGCGGCAGTCATCCTTATAAGTCTCTTGTTTCCTGGGCTCTGATGTCAGACGGGCCAGGCGGTGGATGTCAGAGCTGCCACTTAGGAGCTCTGTGGCTATGGACAAATGACCAGGCCTCTCTGAGCCTCAGTTTCCTTATCAGTAAAATGGGTTTCTGTGAGGCTTATATAAATGAATGCCTGAATAAATGGTAGCATTGATTATAAACATAACTTGTTGAGCAATCTGAGAACACAGGCTGGGCTCCCACAACCATGTCACCAACTGATGCAGCAGGGAGGGAGTTGGAAGGTGGGTCTCCTGGGGGCTGGCCGGAAGAGTGGACGGAGGCTAGGATATTTCCTGCC